TGAACCCAAGCCATCAACTGAACCAGATCCTTCGGCTGAACCTAAACCATCAATTGAAGTAGTACCTTTTAATCAACCCAAATCAATGACCGAAGCAGAACCTTCTCCCGAACCTTCTCCTGAACCAGTGACTGAACCGAATTCTACCAGTGAATTAGAATCCTCGACAAATTCCATAGCGATCGACGATTCAGAATTATTGCATCAACCAGGAATTACTGTTAGCCCTGAAATGCTTGGCGATGCTGAAAATTCTACTGAACACGAATTATCAACTTCATCAACCACAGAAGCAAACATATCCAATGATGAGAAGCCTCACCAAGACACGTCTTCTGTGACTGAAAATTCTATCGATATACAAGATTCTAAGGTGCCAAAGGATTCTTCTTCTACAGGACAAGTGTTTCCTGCTAAAACAGAATCCCCTACCGAATCTGTGACTATGAGTAAAGTGTTCACGGAAACAGTTACCGAATTACCTTCCACTGAATTGCCAAGTGTGACTAAAGCAGTGGAGACCTCACTCGAGGTTTCAACTACGAAGCCTACCATGGAAAAGGAAGTAGTAAACACCATTGCACCTGATGTTCCTACAAGCATGGACTCAGAAACTACGACTCCAATGATGCTTGGGGAGACTACATCTCCAAGTAGCGAAAAACCCATTGATGGAATGATGGACAACGATGAACCACTGCCAGTGATTCCCTTGATGACTGATGATAAAGAACCTGTAACGTCAAATCACACGAGTCCCGAGGATCATTCTGCGAGACCAAGTGCAACAGTGACGGATGCAACGATAATGGAGGACGGTAATGAAGGCAAAACGATGACAACGAGCTCAGTTGAGATGGATAAACAAGGAACACCAAAAGTTGAACAAGTTACTGAAACTAACATGCCACAAGATGAAACAGCTGGGTATACTACAATGAATATAAATAACGACGTATCTGGAGTCACGAACTCTTCGTCAGAAGCTAGTTCTATTGCTCCGTCTAGCACCCAATCATCAGTTCTCGAAGTAGGACCGACTACAAATACCGAGACAACCCGACTCGCAGTGGAAACCAAATCAGAAAACATAACCCAGTCAAATTCCATCGTAGAAAGCAGTAGCACAGAATCAAACAGTGATGGACTTAAATTACAAAATATATCAGCAACAAGTAACGAATCCTCTGCACAACCAGAGCCAACTGTGCATGAAACCAATGAAACCAACGTTATCGAGCATATGCCAACAACTGTCTTCCCCAAGTTACCAAAGAACTTTGGCCACAACGTGGAGCCTCTGATAGAGCCGTTGAAAAATGACACAGACGAGGAGCACATCATGCTGATACCAAAAACTGAGCATGCCACAGAAGTGCATGATCCCCATGCGATTATTCCTCAATTAATTCCCGAGCAAAGCGTTCAATCCTCCAATGGATCATCGGTCGGTGTTCTTGACGGTTCAGCACATCATTCCACTATCCATCCAGAAGAGAACGTAGTGTCCGTGGGTGATTCCGTTCGCTATGAGGACAACTTGGACCACTCGACAAATCACCCTCTACACCCGGCAGTGTTCCCTGAAAACGCAGTCGAGCAGGCAACGGAGAAGTTTGATCCAACTTATGACAAGCACATAGATGACATGTCTCCCTTCTTACCAGATGTTCAGAAGGAGAAGGAAATAAAGAAGGCACCTAGATTGGACAAGGATGAGCAGGATGTCCCTAATCCCTTCGAAGGACACGTTGAAGACGTCGTTACTTACAAGTCTCTAACAGAAATGTCTACCACTGAGCAAACCGTGAATCAAACCGAGCTGAAGGATTCCCTGAACGATGTTCACACGGAAACGCATGGCATTAAGAGGCCTGACGAGCAGGAAGATGAAAATAACACGGTGAAAAGCATAGACATTGGCAATGAAGTGGGACGTGGCTTCAAAAGTGATGGTTTGAACGTTGTTGAAATTAACGACACAGAGTCTGGTATTCAAAATGGACTGAACAACTATGAAATTATTAACAAGCCAGCCAAGGCTGAGGAAGACGTCCTGAATGAACAGGGCGGTAAGTCAGATTCCGAGGAGGACGAAGAGGCACTGAAAGTGGTGCCACTGGAGGAGCAGTTCAAGGAAGTTGAAACGACCGTGAAATACAGTACAGATAAGGACAAATCGGAAACAACAACAGAAGCTAACGTGGTTACGACGATTCCAGTGGAAGAGAACGAGAAACAATCTATAGATTCAGTTGCAAAGAATATTACAACCACTTCCGAGAAACCAGAAGAAAATGCCGTGGAAGATCAGTATAATGACATAACTGATGACACATTGCCCAAGGGATATCAGCAGGACGATTCAGAGATACGCAAGAAAATTAAAGATGAATCCGATAAATTAATAGCAAATAACGACGAAACATCGTTCAAGCCGACAGATGCGCCATCTATAAATGACAAAATAAATGTCACGATAAATGACACCGAGAATACGATGGCTATAATTGGAAACATCCTGGGAAAGCACGCAGAAGATGCCAAATTGACAACGCAGATACCAGTACTACCAATGGAAATACAGCAAGAGATGTCCACAACAGAGAAGATCGAGAGCACTACCGTAACCGAAGAGAATCCTCGAACAGATAACAACACAGAACATCACAGTACGAATGTCAGCATTGAAGATGTCACCACAGTTCAGATTCCAACCACCCACACGATGTCAATGGAAACCAAAACCACTGCTCAGGTACCAATATTACCAGAAGAATTGCAGACCACAGAAAGCGATGCACTGTTGACTACCTCCACTATGAAACCAGATACTCAGATAAAGAATGACGACGTGGAAAACGTGGGTTCTGACAGCGAGCAAGTTGCACGAAAGGACTCACCAAAAGCTATCATCGACGATGACAATAATAATAATACGACAGAGGCACCTAATACAGGACAACAAGTGGATATTCAAAATGATACTGTAGATGACCTGAAGACCAGTGCACTGGAACACATAGGCAACAGAAGCATTCAGAACACGTGGTTACAGACAAATGTCTCGATGTTTAATAGTGTTAATGCGAGTGAGGAAAATGTGACCATGCCATCAGTAAAGATTGTCGAGGAGAATGTGAAGGAAAACGTGACGGAAAATCCAATATCTGAGATTGCTTCTTCGACGTCTAGCAGCGAAACTGTGACCATGAAGGAACTCCACAAGCAAATACTTGGCAATTTCAATATCACAGAGGATGTTAGGCCAGTTACTGAAATACTAGAAGACGATACTGAACCTATAGGGTTTGACTATAGGACACACTTTATCACCACTACACCCAAGAATCTATTACCTGATCTAGACGTCGGAGAGCTGTCAGAGGAAGATTTAAAAGTGATCCCATTGGAGAAGAGTTTAGAAGTGAAGAAGAAATCAGTAGACAAGAAGCCAACTGATAAATACAAATACAAGAAAGAGAAGGAGCTCAATCTGGATGAAAACGAGGGTGAGAATGTATTAACAGAGGTTCCAGAACCAGCTACTGTATTCTTGACCGAGATACCACAGATGGTCACTGAAAAAGAGAAAGCTCAAGGAGCAGTCCATAATGCAACTAGCGCAGATGCTAATACAGAGACAGTGAAATCTACAGAAGAGAACTCTGCACCTGTGCCAAAATTGAAGATCATAGAAACGACCAGTGGATCCAACCAAACGGAAGCTCAGATTTCAGAAATTTCTAGCAGAGCAAGGGAAGATCTCAGTGCCAGGACCAGCATAACGGTACCAGATGCTGCGAAGAAGTATCCCAGCTTCATACCAGTCTCGGAAAGGATCATAGAGCCAGAACCCGTCACCCAACCTTTCGTGATCCTTCGAAACTACCATCTTCAACGATCAAACGTAGACTTTACGACGGAAAAGCCATCGATGATCAGCGTATTTCCCAACGAAGGCCACACAGCCATGGGATCAGGTCAAGCCATCGAACTGGATAACCAGACAGGTTCTCAGCCTTTGGTGTTCCCTACGATTCAATCGTTTGCTGCCCCGACAGGTCAGGTAGCAGACGTAAATCAGATCACGAAGGAACGAAACATGGACACGATTCTATCACCGTCAACCCAGACTAGAATGCCAGACTCCGTAGTAGAAAGCACCAGCCACATCGACGTTTCCTTCCTAGGTCTGTCGCCAAATGTCGTTTTCTCCAAGTGTACAGCTGGTCAGTTCCAGTGTGTAAATGGAACATCGAGAGATGGCGCCTATTGCGTGAAACTGTCGGCAACATGCGACTCTGAGAACGATTGTTCAGACGGTTCCGACGAATTGTACTGCGAAGAAAAAGGTTGTCCCGGAAACTTCCAGTGTGCCAGCGGCCAATGCCTAAAACGTGACCTGGTGTGCAATAAGATCGTGGATTGCGACGACGGAAGCGACGAGAAGAACTGCGAAGAATGGAAGTGTCAGTTTGACGAGTTCAGGTGTCCCAACGGTGAGTTCTTGGAATTTTGTTACACAACAGGTCAATCGATGCAAATCGATATGATAATTATCGATGGAAAAAAGTGAAAGGAGAACTTGGCATAATACGTGACCGACTTAATGGCTTTCCGTTTAATATCTAACTCGGGTTGTGCAACGCAGCAAAGAATATTCTAATCGGATAGATGACGATTTCTTTCCTAGCTCGGGTTATCGGTGTTAACACTTATCGTCACGAGCAAATTGTTTAATCTACCAGGCTATTTACAGGCCAGCAAACGCTTCTGGAAGCTACGTACGTTGAATAAAAGCAATCGTCTAATGGCAATTAGTTGCGGCCATTTGTCCTATCTAATGGACTGCCAATTTGATTTATTTCTCAAGTGTCGTGTTTACTCTACGATATGCCCTAAAAACCAATTGCAGACTAAACTAGAATCGAACTTGGGTTTATCGTCACTTTCACATGCAAGATTGCACCTTCTCCTTTCAAATTACACAAAATCTATCCGGTCTAATTATGGAAATAAAGTGTGCACGTTGGACTGAGACTGCATTGTATAATTAGCAAATGCTCTCGAATGCAACGAGCAAAGTTTATCTGTAGTATAATTATAGCGTAGCATCTGAGTGCATAAATACGAGACAATTTGAATCACAAATGAGTAACGCAATAGATAGAAAAACTGGAGTTGCATTGATTTATGTTCCACTCATTTTTCATTTCAGGAAGATGCATTCCGGGCATCTGGCAATGCGATGGCCGGCCAGATTGCGAGGATCATCGTGACGAGTACAACTGTGCTGAAAGTTGCGGAAACGATGAGTACCTCTGTCCAACAGAGAAGTGGTGTATACCACTGACATGGCACTGTAATGGAATCAGCGAATGTGCTAATGGAGAAGACGAAAAACTATGCGATTGCGCTCTTGATCAGTTCAAATGTCAGACAGGCGGATGTGTGCCGGAAAATCAGGTCTGCGATGGAATAGAACACTGTCCAGATCATTCTGACGAATGGGGCTGTTTAATGACAAATACAACCACAGAGAAAAAGTTAACAGATGGGCAGAAAGACGACGAAATCGGTAGCAATGGTGCTCAAGAATTAAGCGAGAGTTATTTATTGAAAATAAGGTATACATCGAACATTCTGATTAAAGTTGGAAAATGATCCTTTGTTACTTAAGATTGCAACTGATTATTTTGCTGTTGTAAAGATACCAAATGGCACAACAACCTGCTTTTAGTACCCCAATTCATTTTAATACCAATTTACTGTTACATCGTTTCATGAATCTATGGCAATGCGTCTGTTAGAATCCAATAGAACAGCGATATCTCTCTGCTACTTAAAGTATTAAAAGAGTTCTCTTATCACTTCCTCTCGACAAATCCCAAACAGTTCCATTATACTAGAGCACATCCACTCTTATCATACATCAACTCCAAGAGTAATCTAACAACATCCCTCTCTCTCAAAATACCATAATCTCACAATTTTACTTTAAAGTTACTTCGACAATTTGAAACTGCTTTCTGTTTCCCTGATTATATATTAGAAAATACACGAACTACCTATCTCCTCTGTCAAATAACTTTAAATTATTCAACAGATTAATTGATGTTTCCAGACAATACAATGGCGAGTATAGGTTAGTTTGCTCCGACGGATGGAGCGAGGAGTTCAGCAACTCTTATTGCCAGTCCTTAGGATTCGCCGGCTCAGAGATCACAGAGCTGCAAACATGGGACAAAACCCAGAAGATCCTCAGATTAAAATCGAATCCTAATCACCATGCACCGCTGGTCACGAATTTGGAGCAAGTGGAGTTCTGCGTCTCCGACAAGGTCGTGCAGATCTCTTGCCAAGAGTTTTCTTGCGGCTCCCATTATGGCGAAGGACCAACGGCGAGATTGGTCGGAGGAACTCTAGCCAGCGAAGGGGAATTGTCCAGTGTAGCCTTGTTAAAAGAACCTAAACAAGGTGCTGCTTGCACAGCGAGCGTATTGGGCCCTATGCACGCGCTTGCCAGTTACTCCTGTATTCACAGGTATGTAAATGCACAGGTTGAATTAGAGAAGATCGAAATTTGAGTATCCGAGGAGATCGTGAGTATCGAGACATGTTCTTTCTTCTCGCTCAGATATAAACAGAGCAACGGATGGCAGCTTTTCACCGGTGAAAACCTGCTGAAAGCACATCCCGTGAGGAACATCATTCCCTACCCGCAAGTGAAATACAATCAATTCTTGTACAACAACGACATAGCGTTGGTGGAGCTCGAGATGCCACTGAGATTCTCGAGGAATGTCAGCGCTGTCTGTCTTCCGAAACACCCTATTCAGGTAGGAATATTTGGTATCGAGAATGTTTAAGGATACAGGTGTGGAAGAGTGTAACATGTATGCAAACTGTTGATGAATTTTAGCCGAGACAGATATGCGTCATGGTAGGATGGGGATTCTCGGTGAACGGCGAGGTGGACTTGCAGAAATACCTAAATTTCTTGCCATTGCCAACGTTCGACTCCGAAAAGTGCAATGCAACCAGCCATTATGCAGGTTTCATCACCAAGGACAATATATGCGCTGGATTCACTGATACAGACAAAGGACCTTGCTATGTAAGACGCTGTCCCATACGATTTTTAAATTACATCGTCTAATTCCAACTTTTCATGGGAATAATTGAACTAATTAATTTGTCTTGGTATTTTTATTTCTTTCGTTTGTTTGTTTTTCGTTGTTTCAGAACGACGAAGGGGCACCTCTGATGTGCTCCAGTGAATCTGGAGGAGAATCAGCCAGATGGGAAATTCAGGGACTACTCAGTCATCACAGCAGATGCTCAAGGGGTCATCCAGCAATTTACTCCAGCGTAGAGCCAGCCCTATCTTGGTTGCGAAACTCCGTACCCGCTTTGCAGACGCAAAGCTAAAGTGCTATAACGTGATTCTGTTCTTTTTACAAGGATACGCGAGCATTAGATGAATTTTAATTCGTATAAATCGATCACAACGACACACTGAACGAACGAACGAACGATAGAAACTAGAGAAATTCATCAGAGGGGAACTGTCAGGTTGAATATAGAAGTTCCTGTTGAAATTCAAGAAAGGAAAACGATGTACTTAATTTATATCCGTCTGTATTTTCAAACGGTATGTTCCTATTTAAATGCAAAGAACGCGTTCGACGGATAGCAATGCAATGGCGGCCATAATTCGTTCTGCATGAGAAAAAGACGTTCTGAGATGTAAATGATTCCCTGTCTCTACAATATCGATTAATGGGTACTGTAATATTCCATAGCGACTTTTGCACTCATAAGAAAAAAAACAAAGATGACGGAAGTACATATGATTGGCGATACACGATATTTACAATTAAGAAATTTGTAAATACTGTATAAAGTGACTGTTTAATATGCTTAACATTGTAAGAGATTTTTTACAGGTTTAGCGAATTAGGTCTCTTAAGGATGCTGTTTTATAAGTATAAAAAGATGTGAAACGTTTAACATACTTGTCTATTCTGCTGAATACCCAACAGGTTTTATGTAACAATTGTATCTAACAGATTTTTGCTGACATACACTTTGCAGTTTATTATGCCAGACATAAAACAGAGGTGTACTATTACTGATTAGTGTCATGTCTGTGTGAATCATTTAAATCCTGTTATCGAATCCAAAAAGTAACAGCAAAATAAAAATATTTATTGGAAATAAGAGACCATCAAATAAGTGCACCCAATTATTCAATCAACAGTTTGTCTCAGAGATCCTAAGAAAGGATTCCTGAAATGAACAATGGACTAGATTAAGCAATAGATAGGATAAATGTATATAATATATAAGTATTTTAATAAAATACATTGTTACGAAGAGATACAATAATAAAATATGTTTATGTATGCATAGTCACTGATGAATGTGTAAGTATTTTTATATGCTAAGATAAAAAAAATAAATGTATTTTAAATGAATTCAAATCTATCTCATTTTAAACATAAATAATTTTATTCTTAAGATAATAAATAATAATTTTGTTGATATATACAATACATTCTTAATCTAATTCTTTCTTGGGGATCGCTGCAATTTCAGCTGCTGTTATAATATTATCTATAGTGATCAATGATTTGGAAATACTAGTTACTACTTCATTATATTTGGAAAAAACTTCATTTATACGATTATTTAATCCTTGTGTATCTTCATACAACTTTAAATATGACAAATTCAAATCGTTCAGTTTATTACTTAATTCTGGTACATTTTTTAGATGATCAGTTTCTAATATAGGCATTAGTTCCTGCAGCTGTTTCAACATTTCATAGTTTTGTTGGATGTCTGAAGCTGTTGCTGATATAAATTGAAGTTTAGCTTCTGTAGGTATTTCTGAACTTTCAGCAATTGGATCTAGATAATTATTTAACTCTGGTAATCGCTTTACTATTGCATTTGCCTTCTCTCGTCCAGACAGTGCAGATGAAATCAATGTATTTACATGTAAGATGCTATCGAGAACAGGATTTTCCAATGGATTATCATTGACATCAATTGTTTTTGCCAATCCATATATTTGCTTTTCCAACTCCGTGATTCTATCTTCAAGCAATTCAATAGTTGTCATTCTACATGTCAAGGAAAAAAGAAATTATCATATGTCTGTGCATATATCTCCAATGATAAATAACTAGTTAAGTGTAACGGAATGAATTTTCTAGAATTCAAAAAAATATACTTATCTCAACGAATTTTCTGAACACTTATACAACAAAAAATTGAATATATTTTTGTAGAATAAAGGTATAATATCATATAACAATACTTACTTGGATAAATTTCAAAACTATAACTTTGGTTTACACTGCAAATATGTATAAATAACAATATTTGTATGCACAAGAAATAATTCAGAACACAAATTTAAAAAATGAAATCAGGTTAGACCATACGACTACGATCTGAAGTGATGCAATGTACGACTGCTTTCGCATTGCAACTTACTTCAAGATAATCGAAAAAAGGCGCTTAAGCTGAATATATTGATAATCTTTAATTCTTATGCATTTAAAGATTATTATCTTCAACTCTTTTGTAATAATAATATTTGAATAAAGTAAACAATTAAGAAAATAATGTGGTTCTATACTCGAAATTATTTAATTTCAAATAGCTAATACGATCATCTTGGCATAATTTATGACCATTATTTTCAGATTAATTTAAATAAAAATATTACATGTTCAATACATAAAAATGGTATACTTTAATTACTTTTATCAATGAAAAGAAACAAAAGGAAAGAAATAATCATAGTTTTCAAAAATGACCATTCATAACGCAGCTGTGAAACTTACCCGAAACCCTCGACGTAAAAAGACAAAACGTATTGCTTTAAATAGACAGGCAAGAGTAGTACACAAGGATGCATATATAGATGGTTACAGCTGCGTACACTCTGTCAGTTCACACTTTTAAATAAACTCTCGATCTCCCCTCTTCACTTTGAGAAACTGTTACAGACGTATGCTAGACAATGTCCGTAAGAGAACCGCGGCGGACGACTACTATACTGCAAGGCGTGTGGTAGGGGTACGGATCTGTCATGGCTGACGTTCAGTGGGAGAGTAGTTTTAGTCAGACCGCATCAGCGAGCGGTACGTGGTGTGTTTAGTAGTGAAAAAAACATGGGGCACGATAATGGGCAAACGGTTAAGCGAAGAAGGCGTTAGCGAACTCTCGGTCCTAGTAGAGGACGATATATGCGAGAGGTCCGCGACGATGGAGTCACGAGCACGGAGGACTCGGTTACGTAGCGTTGTAGGGATATGTTTGTTTCTCGCGCTCACGGGCATCATTTATCTCGGTTACTTCTGTCCGGATCACGTATGTGCTCTGACAAGTCGCGAGATCAAGGAGTCCGTAAGATTGTCTGAGGGTCTATCCGCTGGTCCCGGCTCCGGTTTGTCTTCCGTCTCCGTCGAATTCGACAAAAATGGCCTGCTCTCGGTACATCCTGCTTTTAGATTGCAGAGTATTCAGGGGAGCCTTGGTTACGACGATATGTTTACCAATGATACCTTCCAATTTGACATCAATGGTCACGATGTCATCGTTTTCTTACATATTCAGAAGACTGGTAAGTAATATTTGCGTTATTGTTTAATTCGTGCTATTTTCCAAAATATTCATGTGCTCATTTCAGTTTCTATTTTTACTTTCTGATTTAATTTATGAAAAATATATAGTTAATCATAAAAGAAAATTTTGTTATATAAAATGCTTACATATTTCTTTTTATTTCTGTCATGATATCATTTCTTTTCCCATGACAATTATATTAATTGGCATATTTATTAAAGTTTGATTATTTAATAATTTGTTTGATGCTTTGTTAACTTCTTAGTGAAAAAAATTGGAAATAACATACAACATGAATTGCATGTATTGAATAGTTTATAGATTGTAAAATATCTGCATAAACATATATTTTTGTTTCATTTTGTACTTTGATTTCTTTGGATGAATGCCAACCAATCCTATGGCTCAATAAAAACAATACAACACCCCTTCTGACCATTGTACAACTGAATCTTTGCATTATTCATCAGGCACTGTGAAACCTCCAAGCTCTATCTTAGAATGAGAAAGAACAATTCAGGGATGTTGTCTTGTTTAATATGCTATGCATGCATATCCCTGTTTCCTTTTTGTTTTCCATGTGCATGCTTCCCATAAGCTTTTCTTTATCAAGATACATAATAATAGGGTATGCATGTTAGAAATATTTGTTAAATTATTGATACATAGGTATAAAATAATAGTACTATTAAAGAAATAAAAAAAAAAAAGTGGTTCTAATACATTTGTGAATTATATTTATTAATTTTTAAATATTTTTGTGTTACAGGGGGTACATTATTTGGGAAACATTTAGTTCGAGATCTGGATCTGCAAAGACCATGTTCTTGTCAAAGAAAGCGCAAGCGTTGTTTTTGTTTCCGTCCAAATCGCAATGAAAATTGGCTTTTTTCACGATATTCCACTGGTTGGAAATGCGGTCTACATGCTGACTGGACAGAATTGACTAGTTGCGTTGATACTGAGTTAAATAAAATTGAAGGGGATGGGATAAAACGTAGATATTTCTATATAACTATAATAAGGGATCCTGTTGCACGGTATTTGTCTGAGTTTAGACATGTACAACGAGGTGCAACATGGAGAGGAGCTCGTCATTGGTGTGGAGGAACCCAAGCAAATATACCACAATGTTATCCTGGATCTAGTTGGCAAGGGGTTTCTTTAGAGCAGGTAATATTATATTACAAATTTTAATCATATTTAGTAATTTGGAAGCATTTCTGTATGTTAGTATTCTCATAAATTCATAACAGTAATTTCTTTCATGAGTAAAATTTTAAGTATGTTATCTAAAAGGCTTTCATATTTAGAAACACATTAAGATAAGTATTTTTCCTTATCTTGAGTCTCTGTTTTTTCTTCTTTAAATAGATGTAATATTTCCTCTTTTGCTTAGATATCTTCCTTTTTATGAAAGCAGCAATTACGGTTTTAATATAATAATTTAAAATATACAAAAATTTGTTTACATTTATATTGGATAATAAATATTACATATCTAATCCATAGATATCTAATCCATAGGTAAAAATCATATAATGACAATAGAATAAAATTTTATTTACAAATTCAAATCCTTTTGACAAACAACATTATTATTTATGTAGTTTATGGCGTGTCCATATAATTTGGCAAGCAACCGTCAAACAAGAATGTTGGCTGATCTATCAATTGTTGGTTGTTACAATTCTACGCTCAGCAGCTTGGAGAGAGACCGTCTCATGTTGGCTAGCGCTAAGCACAATTTGCAATTCATGCCTTTCTTCATGTTGACTGAATACCAAAAAGTAAGAACTAATCTTTTTGTTGACAATTAAATGTGCATGTTCATATGTTCTTGCATTATCATATATTGCTATAATAATCTTTATCAACTGGTTTTAGAAAATAGCTTTAATTGCATTTATTGTTTTCTGATATAATGTAAACCTGTTGAAAATGTTTTTAATATTTTATCTTAACATATTAACGTTATTAATTTTGTATGCTTCGATTTATTTCTAAAATTTTATTCATCAACTGTTCAAACTTTAGAAGAGATCATTTTGGCTTCTAAGTTGGCCGTCTGTATTAACAAGACATTTTATGTTATACCCGTGAATCATCTGTTGGAAAGTAGCTTTTAATGTAAATATTTGTCTTACCCACCGTACATGGCCGATGAATATGCTTGTAAACATTCCACGCTTTTAACGTTTCTGTTTTGAAGAATCTCTTTCTCATTTAAATAGCATGAATATTATATTTTCATGTCATTATTATCTAATTAAATTTAATATGTTCATAATATATTTAATATTATAAAATAAAAGAATATTGACAAACGGATGAGAAACATAAAATGAAGAGATTGTATAACTTCTTTCTTATATAAGCCAATACTTTTTTTATTAGTTTTTAGTACTGTCTAACTCTGACCTCTTTGCTAGTCGTAGCTCGTAGTTTGATATGGTATTTTTGACATTGCATGCATAATGACTTTACGTTGTTACGTTTACAATTTAATAAAAGAAAATTCATAGGTTATAAATTGTTACTTTGAATATCATAAAATACATTCGAATTTATAATGAAACAAAAAGGATAATTACTTATTTATAAATACATAAAATAAACTTTATTTCTATGAGCTTTTATTTTTAGGGAAAAAAGAGAAAAAAAAACATTTAATGCAATTACTAAACTTCATGAAGTTTAAAAATTGTCTTGATAATGTTTTAAAATTAGTAATGTACGTATCTATAATCAAAAATATTTAAAAATGATTCTTTCTTAAATAAAGCTTCATTCGTGTAAAAAAAAATGTTCATTCTATTTCGATTTATTTTTCTACGTGATTTATCACTTTTTCAATTTTCCCGCGAAATCTATTAAGCATTATATAAAATTCATTAAACGGTTCATTTTCTCACATTCTGTAATAGGCGTAAATATTATAAACCTAACTTAAAATCGAATAGGTGGGACAATATTCCTTTGAAGAAACATTTGGAATGAGATTTGCCGTTGCGTTTGAACAACATAACGCGACCTTCAGCGCTACAACAATGGCTACTTTAAGCGCGGAACAGTTAGATGCTGTGCGTAGATTAAACAGACTAGATCTGGAACTTTATGATTTCGCAAAGAATCTTGCGTTTCAAAGGTTCAAACGACTTAGAGATCGCGACCCATACTTTGTACAACGATTTCAACACCTTGGAGAATTACCTTCTAGGCAAAGTGCAACGGAATTCAATTGGGATTCTGTCATAGAAGATACTACAGATGTTGAATGATATGTAAGTATATTACTGATGGATACTATCGATGCTTTGCATTCATAGCTAAGTGGAAAGAAGTTGTTCTGAATCTGAGCATCTCAGGGAATCACCCTTGAAAGAAATAAGTTTTACATAGAATTATTATGTGCAGTTACCTGCATAGAACTTACCAAAAGTGTTTATAGAAAATAACGTGGATAAGACCAAAGAGAGCTCAGAGGGGATCTTGGAGTAACCCTTGTAATCCTCTTTCAGTTGCTATATATAAAACAAATATATAATCACACAAATTTTTTAATAATTTTTACAATGGTTATCAATTTTTTTTAGAGTTCTTCCATTCAATATAACTTTTGCTTATAATAATATATTTAAGCTTAATCTCTGTTAATGTTTTTACTTTGTACAAGATAATTTGCAAACAGTTTTGTGTGCTATAAAGTGAATTTTCAAAAAAGCACTATAATTATATTTTGTGTGCATACTTACATAAAAAAAACTTAATAGATTTAGACAAAAATATTAATTTTAAAATGTTCTGCAAAAGTATAAATGTTTAATATTTTATATGATACTCAGTATTTTACGTGTATTTGCATTAGTATTTTCTCAAATGTGATAAAACTTAATTACATATTTTACTAATTAAAATTACTGATGTGGATTACAATACATATTCCCTTTATTTTATTTTCTTACTTTTACAATTATATTCATAATAATAAATTTGTCTTTGTAAATCTATTTATAATAAAAGATAATTAAAAAATGGATTTACTTTTGATATATACTGTAAATTTTACAGTAATATTTTTAATCATCATTTTATCATGAATTGAAAGTATCATTTAAAATATAATAAGTATAGCTATTTTGAAAGAAATTTGAACAAAACGAACTGTTTCTTGCTTTAAAATTGTATCAAAGGTTATAAATTAGATCACAATCTATATTCCTAATAACATGTGAAGGAGATAATAAAAATAACATATACAACATGTATAAAAATCTCTAATTATAATGATTTTCAATGGAAGTACATATAAATATTGCAAATTAATTTTGTAAATATATCTAAAAGTCTATATTTTTTAATAGGATCATTTGCAGTGTTATTTGAATAAAGTGGTATTAGATTTAATAAAGGCGATCAATATAGTTTAAGCGATAAAACGTTCATGTGATTGTAGGAATGAATGGTCATTGGATAAACGTGTTTAATATTAGATGCTGATTACACTGTTCAACAAATTTTAACTTTTTCTCAAGTCTGCAATATTCATTGTGTAATTCTTGTAGAATTTAATTTCCTGAAAACAAATTCGTAATCGAGCTGACATTGTCACTCTCAGTTTTCGAAAAATGTGTTTTTTTAAAACCGTATGATATTTAGCTAAAATGAAGTATTATACAAAAGTAAGACGTTAGGAGGTTCATTCTTGTCTTAAAAGTTAGGTGAGAGTATCCCAAGTTTATCAATGTCAATAATTATAATTATTTGTGTTTCCGAATATTTATAATTGATCGCCAAAATTTAAAACTAAGTCGTCGAGCGTACTTTCTACGCACTATTCTTGCATTTTTACAAACATTTCTTTATGCAGCACGAATTTGCTATAGGGCATCGTATCCTGTAGACTTTTCTGACGAGGGAATCACGGAACAGAACTGTCGAAGTAGTTTGTAATTACATTCGATCGAGAAAATGTTCGTCGAGAAGATTAAAATTCGTGTTGAACAGTGTTATTTAACAGTTTAACTGGTCACAAAGGTAATTTTATTTTAATAAACATTTCTTTTGTTAAAATTATTTTATACTAATTCATAGCCTATATACAAAAATTGAGTATCAAATTTACTTAATACATTTTTCGTCAGAAATTCATAATCGTTACGTTGAAAATCAAAAGTAAATTGCATTAAGTATATACGATCGTGTGCTTATTTGATGTATTAGAATTACACGTGCAATAAGACTCAATGGGTTACCATTATAAATATTTCATATTATCCAGTCATGAAATAAATGTAATATAACCTATATATATTAGATATATTAAGTAGTTGCAAATGCAAATGCTCTCTAGCCGCGTATTCAGTTGCGCAAATGATTCACGAATATTTACGAACCTCTTCAGCAGTTGAATGAGATACAAAATACAAACAAACAAACGAAAATATTCACGAGTGCTTATGAATATTGTCGATATTCTAAATAAAATTTCTTCATATTTGCGCTTATTGGAATCAAAAGAATACCGTGTATAAATATGTTCGTTAAATGATGTAAATGATCGTTATAATTGTTCAATTCGCTCACAAATTTTTATGGATGTATTAAACAACAACTGAATATGTGGCTTTTAATACTATTGGTCTTCTGCATAATTACCATATTTATATTGTAAGTTGAATTGTAAAATCAGTGCCATGAGTGATATAAAACAAATTGATCAGTTTTTTTAGCTTTGCTATTACAAATGATTTATATCAATTAGAAAAGTATTTCATCTTTTCTAAGAATTATTCATAAATTTCAGGCTCTTCATGGCCTAAGTTAAGTGTTTTTTTGTTAACTTATGGATGATAATAGTATCAATTTGATTTTAACAAAGTTTCTGTATGATGTTTCTGAAACATTATTTAATGGCATAAATAAAAATGAATTTGGTACTATTATCATTCACAAGTGAATAACTTGTGAACAATCTACTTATAGATACACAGACACATGAAGACACTTACACATATATAATATTAAGCATACAATATGATAAATGATAATGATCATTTAAAAATAATATTAAGGACCAAAGATTTAATAAGTTTTTACGAAAATGCAGAGAGCTTATTATAAGCAATTGTAAAAAGGAAACTTTTTATATGTTCTTAAACAAAATAATCATTACAATTGCAATAAGTACTGTCAAAGATGATAAAAGATGTACTGCCGAATCTTTACACTTGATATATAGGTACAATAATTAGGAATATACTACTTGGATGAAACAGAAAATGATCTTTTAAGCAATCATTACACAGAAACAGATTTTTAACAATATATTACTATTTTCGCATACTTGCCTTTATTATATGTTAACACTCGAAATAACTCATAAATAACCGAACTTAAATCACACAGGGTGGGCAGTATTTTAAAATTAATGTAAAAAATTTAGAAACAACTAGTATTTTATCAATTTTTTAGGTTTCACTAATTACATATATATTTCTGTCATTTTTTATCATACATATTGAAGTGTTTTTCTCATGAAATGTGCAATTGAATGCTTGTGACTCTTTGTAAACGTTTATGAGGTTGACAGATATTTGAGTATTTGCATGAACAGCATTGTAAAAATAAACACATACTCATCAGATTAGCGTGAATGAAAGGATTAGCTTTAATATGTAATGAAATTTCTAGCATAATATTAAGTTGTAACAAACAGAAACTAATAATGAGAACAAAAAGCCATGACAGTAGCCTAATAAAGCAAAATATAGGCCTAAGCCAATGGTACCTTATGTAAGCCAGTGTACATACCATACCATTAAATCATTAAGGAACAATAAATTGTTGTGTACACAATATTATATACAATCTTATACAGACATATATAAATACATAAATATATATATATATATTATATATAGAAATATTATATGTAAGTTGTACACATATTTAAAATTATGTTATTTGATTATTAAGCAATTATATAAAATAAAGTAGTTATTTTAAGATATACCAAATTTAAGCCAAAATTGGTCTATGTTACGTATGTTAATACTAGTACGATATTGTAAGCAATAATTCTTGTAAACACTTTTCTAAAGGTATAATAGAAAAGAAAGATAAAGACAAGATATAAATTAAAATGTTTATTTTGCAATTGTTAATTAAATATATTTGTACATTATTATCAAGAGAAATATTTCTTATTCGTAAAATTATGTTTTAAGAATTTTTGTCTAAATTAGAATAATTTTTGATTCTGTATTTTTATGTTAGACAAATATAGGATGGACATTAAATGCTTTGTGTGTCAAATTATAAAGAGATTGACACTGATGTAATAGTATTTTTTGCTAGAGTAATGATTGCTCTAACATGATTTTTTCAAAACCTGTAGGTGGAGGATGAATAAAATTATCCACAATTAAATCTAAAATGGCCCCGTCGTACACTACAAAGAAAGATTAATATTTGTTTTAACCTATTAGAACATTATTAAATTCCTTTAGCTGCAAATAATTACCATAGAGTACTGGATATACAGTTCCTTTTATGCCCATAATGGGCGTACCTATTGGTTCTCCATTTAAGTAGAAATTAAGCTCTATGTGGTCATAAGACACACCCTGATGAACAAAAGATTATTTACTTATAAATTGACATCTTCCTATAAATTGGTACTTACTATAACATCTCCTTCTTGAATGTGATTTGGAACTGTATATATTTCTTGCTGGTTATGCCTTATAACAGAATCAAAATTAAGAGCCCAACTTTCCTTGTCGTTTCCTCCAATAATAACATTGAGATCTGTAGACCTTGTGGCTAATCCGATAGCCCATATACCACATTGTTGTATTTTAACTTCAAAATAACTTTTACTTTGGACAAGAGGAGCATTTGTTAAGGCACCACCATGACCACACAGTCTTAGACCATTTTTTACTATCACAACTTCATGTCCTGCACCAATTTGATAATATGTTTCTTAAGCACTGTTATTTTTTAAAAGGTTTTTTATCGCTAGTAGAAAATATGTAAAAACCGAATTTTTATCGACCGCAATAAATCATCATTAATGCTAAACACATATCCTTATCTCTAGGAACGCGTAAAAATGTTAATTTTATGTAAATATGATGATACATATATCGTTAAGATTTTCAGACATCGTTATTACCGTCATTTCGATACTAAAAATAAGAATTACCCATGTAAGACGTGTCTAAAGATATAGGATTTGGTGTTTGAGTTGCGGCAAAGCCAAGGCCATCAAAACAGTTTCTTAAACAGCAAAACATCATCATTGTTTCCTTTTCTTTACGGTCTGTTTAGATGAACGAACGCAGCACCGTGACACTTTAAGAAGGAAAATTTCTTTTCCTCCTGTAGAATGAAACGAACGACACGCGATATTTACTTCAATTACACTGGAAACCTTAAACACCGTATAACACTTAGATATAATAGTAAGTTAGTGCTGTTCATATTTTAACGTAGAGGTTGAACTTTCAGTTTCAGTGTGTAGGTAGACTATGCGTAGATGGCAGAAAATGGCTTCCTTTAAAATTTATGCAATCAATATTTAATTGTTATTTATTTTGTATCGAAATGTTTCATTTTTCGTTAAATTTAATGTTAGTAACTTTTCTTTTAACTTTAATCAGTTTCGTGATAGGAACTAGAAAATGTGATATATTACGCGTGTAAAATTTAAGGTTATGTTTACTCGCCGCATGGTATACAACCTTCTGTCCTAATAAATTTTCACGTGTATTAATCACAAGTATGGATAAATTTTATTACAAATGGAATAATTTCAAAGTTTATCGAATATCTTAAACGTCATGAACTATAACATAATAAAAAATAGAAATGTGTTTAACAAGGAAAGAAAGTAGAGACTTTTTATTACCAAAGTGGTATTTATTTACTTATTTTATACAACAAAAAATTTCTATATCCGACTGGGATACAACATCTGTAATAAAATAACAATATTAGTAAATTCATGATTTTACTCCATACAAATAAGCAAATAATGGAATAACTTACAATTCTTATACGATGACCCATAGCTTTAGCTGGCAGATTCTTCATAAATTTAGCACGTACCGAACCACTGGTTCCATGTGGCCGGGTTACCTTACCCCAAATAGCTCTAACTTTTGTTTTCCTGCCTTTTTTACCAGGAACAGGTGTCTTATTCTTTGCCTGCAAATCAATAACATATTAATTACTATTCTTGCATGTTACAATATAAAATTCAAATAAAGTACTTCAGAAACTGTAATAAACATTACCTTATATACATAAACACATCGTTTTCCTACATAAAAATCTGAATCCACTTTAGTTCTAGCTCCTTCAACTTTAAGTAGTGCTGTGTGTTCATGTTGATTACGTAGGCCTCGTTTATAACCAGTAAAAATTGCCTTAGCATAAAGACGTCCATGCCTTTTAAGAGGTCTTCTTTTAAAAGAAGGAAGTTCTCCTACTTTTGGATATTTGGCTTTTTTCGTTTTAGCTTTAGG